ATTAGGGAATCAGAAATAAACGATTCTATCAGGTGACGAACAATAAACTGAAACATACAGAACAGTAAATTTATAACGTTTGTAAATTGGTAATATGTACATGTAACAACGTTCAGTACTTGAACTGATATTTACAGTAAGAAGTTAAAATGATACGGTTTAAAATGAACCTGATGTTCAGTTATTTAATAGTTACATCGAAGTTCAAATAATTCTGTAATTAATACATCAGTAATGCATTACAGTATTATTGAAAAGCAATTGAGGATTCGGATACCAAATTGCGACTCCTCACAGGCACAACATCATTTAATCATCGTAATCATCTACATAATCAGAAACATCATCGTTGTATTAATCTTCACTGCCCATTTCTACGTTACATTCTGCTCAATTGTTTACTGTTTTTCTTCCTGCTTTGAGATTCTAGCGTAGTTCACCATCTGCCCGACAAGTACACGCAAAGAAACAAGGGGGATCACGGGGAACACGCGAACAGAGTTCCTGGCATCTTAATGCCACGCATGTATAGAGTTTCTAAGCCCTACCTTAATGCCATGCATGTACAGATTTTCTAAGATCCACCTTAATGCCACGCATATATAGATTTTCTAAGCTCCACCTTAATGCCACACATGTCTAGATTTCTTAAGCTCTACCATAATGCTGCGCATGTTTAGATTTTCTTAGTTCCACCTTAATGCCACACATGTATAGATTTTCTAAGCTCCACCTTAATGCTACGTATGTATAGATTTTTTAAGATCTACCATAATCCTACGCATGTTTAGATTTTCTAAGCTCCACCTTAATGACCCACATGCATAGATTTTCTAAGCTCCACCATACCTCAATTTTGTAGAATATACTTAATATATAGACACAGGTTTCAAAGAGATGTGCTACTATCTCGAACACCAACGATATTTTATAAAATTTGGTACCGTTTCTTGTTCGTTAAGTTACAGGTTTTTTGTTTGTTTTTATTTTGAAAACAGGTGAGAGAGGAACGTAACAGTAATAAATATATTTTCGCCAAAATGACTTAAATTAAACTTAAATGGTTTTTTAGACAATTGTTTTCAAGCGATTTTTATCTTAAATATCAACTTGTTTACATTATATATTTTTTAATATTCAACCCTCTGATTTTTATCTTTTTAAGTTTTATTTATCCAAACATTATCAAATGAATTTATTTTTGAAGTCCACCTACTAAAAGTAATACACATATTTGATCAAGAAAAATGACACAGAGAGGTAAATGAACAACTTATTATTTTAACTTTTGATTAATACATCAGAAAAAAATAATTGTACAGCATCGAAATATTTGCTAGGCATGCATGCTAAAAGTGCTTTTACAGTTTAACACAAAGTTTTTTGTGTGTTTGTTAACACAACGCTACACAATGGGCTATCTATGCCCTGCCAACTGTGGATATCGAAACCAGATTTTTAGCGTTATACGTCAGACTTACCGCTGAGCCAACGAATGGCCTATCACAAAGGAAGATTAATTGCAGATGCACAATAGTGCAAATTTATTTGTTTTTAAATCTCAGCTTATTTTTTTGTCGGAAGAGGGCGTACTTGTTGGGGAAGTCTGTGGACGGATGGAATATTGTATGTTGACTCTTTACTTCGATCTGTCAGAGTACAAGGGCAAGGCCGATAGAATGTTAGCTTTCCTACGTAGCTACGCTGACGTAAACGGAAGCCAGCATCACACTTTTTCAAGATTTTTGACACAAGAATTGTAACTTCCAACCGGAACTTACCACTGCAGTGTGTTCCAGAGAAACAGGTTCAACCAGCCAATCGTTTGTTTTGATTCATTATAACACCTGGAAGATCTGAAGCACAGTAAGTTTGCTATTATCTTCTTTTATGCTTTTCATGTACAAAGCAAGTTTTAAATTTAGTCTATGTAAAGCAGCATCTTAGAAACACATGCTATATTAAAGCGAACAAGACTTCTAGTTTACTAATAAGAAGAATTTGAATGAGCAACAAGTTACGAGATTTTCAAGTGTTGCTTCATGGACACCTAGCACGACCGTTCTAAACTGTGGTTGGCTATTGAAACTGTTAGCCATTCAAAATCAACTCAGGGTATATGGCCGGTATGCTTGTCACATTAGGAGTAGATTACAATTAAAAACGTGAACGATAAATCATAACTCTTTTGAAAACAGTGTCGTGTGGATACAGTGCTCCCCCTCCCAGTTGCTCAGCTGTAATTCTCAGGGCTTACTATGCTAAAAACAGGGTTTTGATACTCGCAGTTAGCACAGCACAGATAGTCTATTGTTTAGCTTTGTGCTTATAAATAACCATACAAAAATTCCGTACTTCAAGTAGATTTTGACGTTTGTTTCATGTTCTTTCAAAACAAAACAAAACGTGTGTATCTGCTTATACTTACTAATAATAAACTGAGGAAATTATAACAGAAATGGTTCTTATACAGTTATCTGTTAGCTCAAGCGTATCTATATTTTGTTAATTAAATTATATAATCAAATGATGTTGCATTAATTATACAGCAATTTTAAGTCCTGCTTTGTTCCGTCATTGACTATTCTATGGTAGGTTGTCATTGTTTTAAGTAGGATGAAGTAATTAACTAATTTAAAGTTCCTAACCTGAGAGATTATTTTAATAACTGGCTATTTTCATTTTAAGATTCAAACACTAATAACAGCATGTTGATGAGAATGTTGTCAAGACCTATGAACTGCCATTCTTTAATTTTGTACAACTATCAACAAAGTGACAAGTTATAGCACACATTAATGTCTTTTTATCAACAGTTAATTATTTTAAGGTTACTTTGTTCTATTAACATTTTTTCGTTCTACTGCAGTAGATTTCCATTTAATTGGTATTTCTTAAAAGTTGACAGACCTTCAGAAGAACCAGAAAGATAGCCTTTTACTCTCCTTGATAATAAAACATTTTCACCATGTTCTTAAAGAGTATCACCACCTTCGACCATGATAATAAAACACCTTCACCATGATCTTAAAGAGTATCACCACCTTCGACCATGATAATAAAACACCTTCACCATGATCTTAAAGAGTATCACCACCTTTCGACCATGATAATAAAACACCTTCACCATGATCATTCACCATGATCTTAAAGAGTATCATCACCGTCGACCATGATAATAAAACACATTCACCATGATCTTAAAGAGTATAACCACCTTCGACCATCTTCCAAATATTCGCTTACATTCAAACAAAACAGAGTTAAAGTGTCTAAGTGGTGAAGTTTAATCCCTCTACTTTTAAGTTACAAATACAGTTGGAATTGCGTGAGTCTTTAACTGGATGATGGTGAATTTACTCTTTTTGACAATATGGCGAAATATTCTTTTTCCTTTATCGATTGGTTACACCCAAGTTCAAGTAATTATTCTGGTTTATTCAGAAAACTGAAAGCACTTTACTGTTCGTGCAGTTATGTGGGTTAGGACTAATCATAGACATTTTCATTGGTCTAATCGTTCTGTAGTGATGCAAACGTAGCTAATTACATGAAAGTCAAGCTTATCGATCGTGTTGTTGACAAGGTGGATTTACCTTCTTAGACTCCTAAATTCTATGTCGACTTAGCAAATGGTGAGGATTTGAATTATCTTTATGTTCAGTTTTATTTTCTGATACAAAAATTATGTTATTGCGTTTCTCGTTTGAAAAATCAAAGTTGTTAAGATATTTCTTAACCTATCTTCTGCATTGTTCTTATTAGCATTAATTTATATTGGATGGATCATGTTTCATACTTAAGTGACTGGAAAAAAAGTGTGTCATTGTTTAAGGATGCAACACTTATTCTAGGACACATGTAGCTCGTGTTATTGTTGAGAATTAATAATAATGGTTGTGCATTATGTGTGTAAGATGAGATGTGATAGAGAACATAAACAGTTCCACCACCTCTTTTAATAAAATGTGATAAGTATTTAACAATTAGTGTAAACATCTGAAGTTTATGGTTCACTAAAATATCGTCAATGTTGAACAACTAATACAAACATTTATATATAGAACAGCTGTTACCAAACATATCATAAGGAATTAAACAACTAATGTAAACTGTTGAAGTTTATATTTTATCAAAACACACTTAAGGTATAGCGGCTAACATTAAAAGTTATGGTAGGCATTTATCAAATATTATAAGGATTTAAACAACTAATGTAACCAGATGGAATATATGCTTACTTCGAACATCATCAATATGTAACAGCTTTTATTCATGTGAACCGAAATGTGATCAGGTTGTGATATAAAATACATGTACAATTTCTGTTTTATTGAAATACAAGCTGACAAAACCGACCAACGCATGGAAAAAACATATGAGACCACGAGGAGTAACATAGGGGCCAGATTCTAAGGCCGATACCCTCATGTCGCTCCAAGGAGCGCTTTAGATGTGCCTTCGAAGTATGGTAGAGATCAATGGAACGGTACAGAGAACACCTTTGGGGTCCCGGGGGGGGGGGGGTTACATAAGAGGCTAGATACGAACATCGACTCCCTATGTCACGTCGGGGGGGGGGGGGCTAAGGGTGCATGCCAAGTTTGATTGAGATCAATCAAAACATGTAGGTGTGAAAAGCGGACACACAAACGACACTTTATATACACGTATATATAGATAACCAAGTCTTAGCTACTAACACAGAAGATAACCAAGTCTTAGCAACTAACGCAGAAGATAACCAAGTCTTAGCTACTAACACAGAAAGAGATATCATATATTTCACTGGAACAACTTAAAACTTGTTACAAACAATATAATAGGCTTAATTTATAAAGCCATAAAACTGTGTAAAACTTACGAAACCAATAATAATTTTGTTTTTAAGGGTTTTATAGATATTGTAAGTTAATGCAGACTGACTTTTACTAAAACAATTTCAGAAGGCAACAGTAAATACTTTGGATTAATGTTTTATGAAAACCCAAGAAGGCATTGTGAATAGTCTTAAGTTTTTGAAGTGTATTTATTTTTTGTATGCGTCTGATAGAAATTTACCGATGAATAGAAAAGCATGCGCCGTTTTTTAGGAATATTTTAGGGACTCTGCATCTTTAACCTAACAGAATAGTGGAATCATAATGACTTAGACATAATATCCCAGAACTTCCGTAGTCATTATCTTCGAAATCAACATGTATTAAAAATATTCTTGTATAATCAGACGTTATGTGTTCAACCCTGTATATTCATCCTTCTTTGTTACATGAATTAAGTAGTTATCTATGCGTGCCCTCAGCAATTCATATACGGTTTGTAACTAGCAATAATTAGTGCCGATATGTACCGTTGTAGTTTACTTATATATCAATTTACGTTAATGTTGTGACGACGATTAATGTTCATGTGCAGCGTTGAATATTGGTCATTTGCCACTTTAAATGAACTTATATTGATTAATCCTGATATCCCTTGTTAAACATAGTTAATTTGTTACTTTACATTACCTTATCATGTTGATTTATCTTTATATGCATTATCAAACATTGTTCATTTGTCACTTTAAATTACCTTGTTATATTGATTAATCCTGATATGCCTTGTTAAACATAGTTAATTTGTTAATTTACATTACCTTATCATGTTGATTTATCTTTATATGCATTGTCAAACATTGTTCATTTGTCACTTTAAATTACCTTGTTATACTGATTAATCCTGATAAACATTGTTAATTTGTCGACTTACATTATCTTGTTATGCCGATTAATTCTGTTATGCATTGTTTAACATTGTTCTTTTGTCACTTTAAATTACCTTTTTATATTTATCTATTTTATATGCATTGTCAAACATTGTTCATTTGTCATTTTAAATTACCTTTTTATATTGATTAATCCTGATATGCCTTGTTAAACATAGTTAATTTGTTACTTTATATTACCTTATCATGTTGATATACTGATTAATCCTGATAACTAATGTTAATTTACCGGCTTACATTATCTTGTTATGCCGATTAATTCTGTTATGCATTGTTTAACATTGTTCCTTTTCCACTTTAAGTTACCTTTTTATATTGATTAATTACGATAAGCATTGTTAAACATTGTTTATTTGGTACCTTGAATTACCTTTGGTGTAATGGTTAGTAGCCCATTCAATCAACTGCAGTTAACTGTTAATTATGTTGCTATGTTTTATTACGAGACTCTAACTACCCACTAGTTTTTATCCTACGTTCCGGATACTAATCTGCAGCAGTCCTGAGAAGAACGATTTGTGTATTGGAAATGGATCAGATTCGATCCTGATAATCTTCACATAAAGTCTGGGGTTTTCCAATTAGGCTTTGCATCAACTAAGTATTTGAATGTTTTCTAGAGAGAGTTTCCAGAATTTACTGACTTCTATGCTTGATTTGGTGAGTGTGTTATCAGGAATATGGAAATAGAACGTTTTTTCTTATTGCCTACTATTTCTTTTGTGTGGTTCATATTCCACTAGTTTAGTATTATACTAATTTTCGTAACATATTAGGCTATTACAGATAGATCGGTATTACAGAGTCTTGTATGTCTGTTATGTTTTTGAATTTTATCTTTTGTTGGTCTTTTTGTTCCTCTAATGTATTGGTGTTCACATTCATAAGAGATGCTGTAAATGGCGTTTCTGTTCTCCACTGGGTATTTAGGTGGTCTGGTTGTACTAACAGCGGTTGTATCTTGTTGTGGCTTCTGAATACTGTTCTGACTTTATGCTGTTTACCTATCCTCTATATGGCTTCAGAGATACGTTTGACACTTGGGAATATGACTGTGTGTGTTTAACTTTCTTCCTGTTTATTCCTAGTGTTTATCTTC